CACTCAGCTGCTTCACTCAGCTGCTTCACTCACCTGCTTCACTCAGCTGCTTCACTCAGCTGCTTCACTCAGCTGCTTCACTCAGCTGCTTCACTCAGCTGCTTCACTCACCTACTTCACTCACCTGCTTCACTCAGCTGCTTCACTCAGCTGCTTCACTCAGCTGCTTCACTCAGCTGCTTCACTCAGCTGCTTCACTCAGCTGCTTCACTCAGCTGCTTCACTCACCTGCTTCACTCCGCTGCTTCACTCACCTGCTTCACTCAGCTGCTTTCACTCAGCTGCTTCACTCAGCTGCTTCACTCAGTGCTTCACTCACCTACTTCACTCACCTGCTTCACTCAGCTGCTTCACTCAGCTGCTTCACTCAGCTGCTTCACTCAGCTGCTTCACTCAGCTGCTTCACTCAGCTGCTTCACTCAGCTGCTTCACTCAGCTGCTTCACTCACCTACTTCACTCACCTGCTTCACTCAGCTGCTTCACTCAGCTGCTTCACTCAGCTGCTTCACTCAGCTGCTTCACTCAGCTGCTTCACTCAGCTGCTTCACTCAGCTGCTTCACTCACCTGCTTCACTCAGCTGCTTCACTCACCTGCTTCACTCAGCTGCTTCACTCAGCTGCTTCACTCAGCTGCTTCACTCAGCTGCTTCACTCAGCTGCTTCACTCACCTACTTCACTCACCAGCTTCACTCAGCTGCTTCACTCAGCTGCTTCACTCAGCTGCTTCACTCAGCTGCTTCACTCAGCTGCTTCACTCACCTGCTTCACTCAGCTGCTTCACTCAGCTGCTTCACTCAGCTGCTTCACTCAGCTGCTTCACTCACCTGCTTCACTCAGCTGCTTCACTCACCTGCTTCACTCAGCTGCTTCACTCAGCTGCTTCACTCAGCTGCTTCACTCACCTGCTTCACTCAGCTGCTTCACTCACCTGCTTCACTCAGCTGCTTCACTCTGCTGCTTCACTCAGCTGCTTCACTCACCTGCTTCACTCAGCTGCTTCACTCAGCTGCTTCACTCAGCTGCTTCATTCAGCTGCTTCACTCAGCTGCTTCACTCACCTGCTTCACTCAGCTGCTTCACTCAGTTGCTTCACTCACCTGCTTCACTCACCTGCTTCACTCACCTGCTTCACTCAGCTGCTTCACTCAGCTGCTTCACTCAGCTGCTTCACTCAGCTGCTTCACTCAGCTGCTTCACTCACCTGCTTCACTCAGCTGCTTCACTCAGTTGCTTCACTCACCTGCTTCAATCAGCTGCTTCACTCAGCTGCTTCACTCACCTGCTTCACTCACCTGCTTCACTCAGCTGCTTCACTCAGCTGCTTCACTCACCTGCTTCACTCAGCTGCTTCACTCAGCTGCTTCACTCACCTGCTTCACTCAGCTGCTTCACTCAGCTCCTTCACTCACCTGCTTCACTCACCTGCTTCACTCAGCTGCTTCACTCAGCTGCTTCACTCACCTGCTTCACTCAGCTGCTTCACTCACCTGCTTCACTCAGCTGCTTCACTCACCTGCTTCACTCAGCTGCTTCACTCAGCTGCTTCACTCACCTGCTTCACTCAGCTGCTTCACTCACCTGCTTCACTCACTGCTTCACTCACCTGCTTCACTCACCTGCTTCACTCAGCTGCTTCACTCACCTGCTTCACTCACCTGCTTCACTCACCTGCTTCACTCACCTGCTTCACTCACCTGCTTCACTCACCTGCTTCACTCAGCTGCTTCACTCACCTGCTTCACTCAGCTGCTTCACTCACCTGCTTCACTCACCTGCTTCACTCAGCTGCTTCACTCACCTGCTTCACTCACCTGCTTCACTCAGCTGCTTCACTCAGCTGCTTCACTCAGCTGCTTCACTCAGCTGCTTCACTCTGCTGCTTCACTCAGCTGCTTCACTCACCTACTTCACTCAGCTGCTTCACTCAGCTGCTTCACTCACCTGCTTCACTCAGCTGCTTCACTCAGCTGCTTCACTCAGCTGCTTCACTCACCTGCTTCACTCAGCTGCTTCACTCAGCTGCTTCACTCAGCTGCTTCACTCAGCTGCTTCACTCACCAGCTTCACTCAGCTGCTTCACTCACCTGCTTCACTCAGCTGCTTCACTCACCTGCTTCACTCAGCTGCTTCACTCAGTTGCTTCACTCAGCTGCTTCACTCACCTGCTTCACTCAGCTGCTTCACTCACCTACTTCACTCAGCTGCTTCACTCAGTTGCTTCACTCAGCTGCTTCACTCACCTGCTTCACTCAGCTGCTTCACTCACCTGCTTCACTCAGCTGCTTCACTCAGTTGCTTCACTCAGCTGCTTCACTCACCTGCTTCACTCAGCTGCTTCACTCACCTGCTTCACTCAGCTGCTTCACTCACCTGCTTCACTCAGCTGCTTCACTCAGTTGCTTCACTCAGCTGCTTCACTCACCTGCTTCACTCAGCTGCTTCACTCACCTACTTCACTCACCTGCTTCACTCAGCTGCTTCACTCAGCTGCTTCACTCAGCTGCTTCACTCAGCTGCTTCACTCAGCTGCTTCACTCAGCTGCTTCACTCAGCTGCTTCACTCAGTTGCTTCACTCAGCTGCTTCACTCAGCTGCTTCACTCAGCTGCTTCACTCCGCTGCTTCACTCAGCTGCTTCACTCAGCTGCTTCGTGACTCACGAAATCGTGATAACACGGAAAAGGTGGAGACTTGAAACCCATGGCAGGAGAGTCCTCACACTCACAGGGGCCAGTGTGTTAACGCACTCGCCTGTGCGTTTGAGAGCTCACTGACCACAGGGTCAAACACCTTCCCGCTCCGTGGTTCACCGCTAGTCTCTCCTACTGAGATAAATGCAATTCTTATTTGTTTACCTAGTAAGCTACATAAACCACACCAGCAACATAAACCACACTAACAACATAAACCACACCAGCAACATAAACCACACTAACAACATAACCACACTAACAACATAAAACCACACCAGCAACATAAACCACACTAACAACATAAACCACACTAACAACATAAACCACACTAACAACATAAACCACACCAGCAACATAAACCACACCAGCAACATAAACCACACCAGCAACAAAAACCACACCACCAACATAAACCACACCACCAACATAAACCACACCAGCAACATAAACCACACTAACAACATAAACCACACCAGCAACATAAACCGCACTAACAACATAAACCACACTAACAACATAAACCACCCAGCAACATGAACCACACTAACACATAAGCCACACCAGCAACATAAACCACACCAGCAACATAAACCACACCAGCAACATAAACCACACCAGCAACATTAAACCACACCAGCAACATAAACCACACCAGCAACATAAACCACACCAGCAACATAAACCACACTAACAACATAAACCACACTAACAACATAAACCACACCAGCAACATAAACCACACTAACAACATAAGCCACCCCAGCAACATAAACCACACCAGCAACATAAACCACACCAGCAACATAAACCACACTAACAACATAAACCACACTAACAACATAAACCCACACTAACAACATAAGCCACACCAGCAACATAAACGACACCAGCAACATAAACCACACTAACACATAAACCACACTAAAACATAAACCACATAAACAACATAAACCACATAACAACATAAACCACTCAGCAACATAAAACACACTAAACAACATAAACCACACCAGCAACATAAACCACACTAACAACATAAACCACACTAACAACATAAAACCACACTAACAACATAAACCACACTAACAACATAAACCACACTAACAACAAAAAACCACACCAGCAACATAAACCACACTAACAACATAACCCACACCAGAAACTTAAACCACACCAGCAACATAAACCACACTAACAACATAAACCCACACCAGCAACATAAACCCAAACACCATAACATAAACCACACCACCAACATAAACCACACTAAGAACATAAATCATACCACAACATAAACCCACCACCAATAAATCATACAACCAACATAAACCACAGCACGAACATAAACCACACCACCAACATAAACCACCCCACCAAAATAAACCACACCACCAACATAAATCATACCACCAACATAAACCACAGCACGAACATAAACCACACCACCAACATAAACCACACTACCAACATAAACCACACGCCAGCAACATAAACCACACCAGCAACATAAACCACACCAGCAACATAAACCACACGAACATAAACCACAGCAACTTAAACCACATCACCAACATAAACCACACTACCAAGATAAACCACACCCCCTACATAAACCACAGCAACATAAACCACAATACTAGGCAACTTTCAGAGGTCTACATGCCAGGCTGGCCAAGTTCCTGCCCGAAAAACTTAATGGGTTTATAATGCGACCAAAACACGGACGAATGGGGGAGAGGGAGCCTGAGGGTAAGGGGTGAGGGGAGGGAGTGAGGGGAGGGAGTGAGGGGAGGGAGTGAGGGGAGGGAGTGAGGGGAGGAGTGAGGGGAGGGAGTGAAGGGAGGGGTTGAGGGGGAGGGGTTTGAGGGGAGGGGGTGAGGAGGGGAAGTGAAGGGAGGGGGTGAGGGGAGGGGGTGAGGAGGGAAGTGAGGGGAGGGGGTGAGGAGGGGAAGTGAAGGGAGGGGGTGAGGGGAGGGGGTGAGGAGGGGAAGTGAGGGGAGGGTTTGAGGGGAGGGGATGAGGAGGAGAGGGGAGTGTTTGAAACGTAGTAGTAGCAGTAGTACTGGTAGTAATAGTGGTACTGGTACTGTAGCAGCACTGGTAGTGGAAGTGGCAGTAGTGGTAGTAGTAGTAGTACTGGTACTGGAAGTGGCAGTAGTGGTAGTAGTAGTACTGGTAGTGGAAGTGGCAGTAGTGGTAGTAGTAGTACTGGTAGCAGCACTGGTAGTGCAAGTGGCAGTAGTGGTAGTAGTAGTACTGGTAGTGGAAGTGGCAATAGAGGTAGTAGTAGTACTGGTAGTGGAAGTGGCAGTAGTAGTAGTAGTAGTAGTGGTACTGGTAGTGGAAGTGGCAGTAGTGGTAGTAGTAGTAGTACTGATAGTGGAAGTGGCAGTAGTGGTAGTAGTAGTACTGGTAGTGGAAGTGGCAATAGAGGTAGTAGTAGTACTGGTAGTGGAAGTGGCAGTAGTGGTAGTAGTAGTAGTACTGGTAGTGGAAGTGGCAGTAGTAGTAGTAGTAGTAGTAGTACTGGTAGTGGAAGTGGCAGTAGTAGTAGTAGTAGTAGTAGTACTGGTAGTGGAAGTGGCAATAGAGGTAGTAGTAGTACTGGTAGTGGAAGTGGCAGTAGTGGTAGTAGTAGTACTGGTAGTGGAAGTGGCAATAGAGGTAGTAGTAGTACTGGTAGTGGAAGTGGCAGTACTGGTAGTAGTAGTAGTACTGGTAGTGGAAGTGGCAGTAGTAGTAGTAGTAGTAGTAGTACTGGTAGTGGAAGTGGCAGTAGTGGTAGTAGTAGTAGTACTGATAGTGGAAGTGGTAGTAGTGGTAGTAGTAGTACTGGTAGCAGCACTGGTAGTGGAAGTGGCAGTAGTGGTAGTAGTAGTAGTAGTACTGGTAGTGGAAGTGACAGTAATGGTAGTAGTAGTACTGGTAGCAAAACTGGTAGTGGAAGTGGCAGTAGTTGTAGTAGTAGTACTGGTAGTGGAAGTGGCAGTAGTGGTAGTAGTAGTACTGGTAGCAGCACTGGTAGTGGAAGTGGCAGTAGTAGTACTGGTAGGGAAGTGGCAGTAGTGGTATAGTACTGGTAGCAGCACTGGTAGTAAAAGTGGCAGTAGTGGTAGTAGAAGTACTGGTAGTGGAATTGGCAGTAGTAGTAGTACTGGTAGCAGTACTCGTAGTGGAAGTGGCAGTAGTGGTAGTAGTAGTACTGGTAGTCTAAGTGGTAGTAGTAGTAGTACTGGTAGCAGTACTGGTAGTGGAAGTGGCAGTAGTGGTAGTAGTAGTACTGGTAGTGGAAGTGGGAGTAGTGGTAGTAGTAGAAGTGGTAGTAGTAGTACTGGTAGTGAAAGTGGCAGTAGTGGTAGTAGTAGTACTGGTAGTGGAAGTGGCAGAAGTGGTAGTAGTAATAGTACTGGTAGCAGCACTGGTAGTGGAAGTGGCAGTAGTGGTAGTAGTAGTACTGGTAGTGGAAGTGGCACTAGTGGTAGTAGTAGTAGTACTGGTAGCAGCACTGGTAGTGGAAGTGGCATTAGGGGTAGTAGTAGTACTGGTAGTGGAAGTGGCAGTAGTGGTAGTAGTAGTAGTACTGGTAACAGCACTGGTAGTGGAAGTGGCATTAGTGGTAGTAGTAGTACTGGCGTAGTACTGGCAGTGGAAGTGGCAGTAGTGGTAGTAGTAGTACTGGTAGTGGAAGTGGCAGTAGTGGTAGTAGTAGTACTGGTAGTGGAAGTGGCAGTAGTGGAAGTAGTAGTAGTACTGGTAGCAGCACTGGCAGTAGAAGTGGCAGTAGTGGTAGTAGTAGTACTGGTAGTGGAAGTGGCAGTAGTGGAAATAGTAGTACTGGTAGCAGGACTGGTAGTGGAAGTGGCAGTAGTGGTAGTAGTAGTACTGGAAGTGGAAGTGGCACTAGTGGTAGTAGTAGTAGTACTGGTAACAGCACTGGTAGTGGAAGTGGCAGTAGTGGTAGTAGTAGTACTGGTAGTGGAAGTGGCACTAGTGGTAGTAGTAGTAGTACTGGTAACAGCACTGGTAGTGGAAGTGGCAGTAGTGGTAGTAGTAGTACTGGAAGTGGAAGTGGCAGTAGTGGTAGTAGTAGTAGTAGTAGTAGTAGTACTGGTAGCAGCACTTGTAATGGAAGTGGCAGTAGTGGTAGTAGTATTACTGGTAGTGGAAGTGGCAGTAGTGGTAGTAGTAGTACTGGTAGCAGCACTGGTAGTGGAAGTGGCAGTAGTGGTAGTAGTAGTAGTAGTAGTAGTACTGGTAGCAGGACTGGTAGTGGAAGTGGCAGTAGTGGTAGTAGTAGTACCGGAAGTGGAAGTGGCAGTAGTGGTAGTAGTAGTACTCGTAGCAGCACTGGTAGTGGAAGTGGCAGTAGTGGTAGTAGTAGTACTGGTAGCAGCACTGGTAGTGGAAGTGGCAGTAGTGGTAGTAGTAGTAGTACTGGTAGCAGCAATGGTAGTGGAAGTGGCAGTAGTGATAGTAGTAGTAGTACTGGTAGCAGCACTGGCAGTGGAAGTGGCAGTAGTGGTAGTAGTAGTACTGGTAGTGGAAGTGGCAGTAATGGAAGTAGTAGTACTGGTAGCAGCACTGGCAGTGGAAGTGGCAGTAGTGGTAGTAGTAGTACTGGTAGTGGAAGTGGCAGTAATGGAAGTAGTAGTACTGGTAGCAGCACTGGTAGTGGAAGTGGCAGTAGTGGTAGTAGTAGTACTGGTAGCAGCACTGGCAGTGGAAGTGGCAGTAGTGGTAGTTATAGTACTGGTAGTGGAAGTGGCAGTAGTGGAAGTAGTAGTAGTACTGGTAGCAGCACTGGTAGTGGAAGTGGCAGTAGTGGTAGTAGTAGTAGTACTGGTAGCAGCACTGGTAGTGGAAGTGGCAGTAGTGGTAGTAGTAGTACAGGTAGCAGGACTGGTAGTGGAAATGGCAGTAGTGGTAGTAGTAGTACTGGTAGTGGAAGTGGCAGTAGTGGTAGTAGTAGTAGTACTGGTAGCAGCACTGGCAGTGGAAGTGGCAGTAGTGGTAGTAGTAGTACTGGTAGTGGAAGTGGCAGTAGTGGTAGTAGTAGTACTGGTAGTGGAAGTGGCAGTAGTGGTAGTAGTAGTACTGGTAGTGGAAGTGGCAGTAGTGGAAGTAGTAGTACTGGTAGTGGAAGTGGCAGTAGTGGTAGTAGTAGTACTGGTAGTGGAAGTGGCAGTAGTGGAAGTAGTAGTAGTACTGGTAGTGGAAGTGGCAGTAGTGGAAGTAGTAGTACTGGTAGTGGAAGTGGCAGTAGTGGAAGTAGTAGTACTGGTAGCAGCACTGGTAGTGGAAGTGGCAGTAGTGGTAGTAGTAGTACTGGTAGTGGAAGTGGCAGTAGTGGTAGTAGTAGTACTGGTAGTGGAAGTGGCAGTAGTGGAAGTAGTAGTAGTACTGGTAGCAGCACTGGTAGTGGAAGTGGCAGTAGTGGTATTAGTAGTACTGGTAGTGGAAGTGGCAGTAGTGGTAGTAGTAGTACTGGTAGCAGCTTTAATAACAGCTGTTGTTGTCGGAAAGCGGTGTTGTGGTGGTGTTAATGTGGGAAGTACTGGTAGACAGGTGGTGTAAGTGTGGGAAGTACTGGTAGACAGGTGGTGTAAGTGTGGGAAGTACTGGTAGACAGGTGGTGTAAGTGTGGGAAGTACTGGTAGACAGGTGGTGTAAGTGTGGGAAGTACTGGTAGACAGGTGGTGTAAGTGTGGGAAGTACTGGTAGACAGGTGGTCTAGGTGTGGGAAGTACTGGTAGACAGGTGGTGTAAGTGTGGGAAGTACTGGTAGACATGTGGTCTAGGTGTGGGAAGTACTGGTAGACAGGTGGTGTAAGTGTGGGAAGTACTGGTAGACAGGTGGTGTAAGTGGGAAGTACTGGTAGACAGGTGGTCTAGGTGTGGGAAGTATTGGGAGACAGGTGGTGTAAGTGTGGGAAGTACTGGTAGACTGGTGGTATAAGTGTGGGAAGTACTGGTAGACAGGTGGTGTAAGTGTGGAAAGTACTGGTAGACAGGTGGTGTAAGTGTGGGAAGTACTGGTAGACAGGCGGTGTAAGTGTGGGAAGTACTGGTAGACAGGTGGTCTAGGTGTGGGAAGTACTGGAAGACACGTGGTGTAAGTGTGGGAAGTACTGGTAGACAGGTGGTGTAAGTGTGGGAAGTACTGCTAGACAGGTGGTGTAAGTGTGGGAAGTACTGGTAGACAGGTGGTGTAAGTGTGGGAAGTACTGGTAGACAGGTGGTGTAAGTGTGGGAAGTACTGGTAGACAGGTGGTGTAAGTGTGGGAATTACTGGTAGACAGGTGGTGTAAGTGTGGGAAGTACTGGTAGACAGGTGGTGTGTAAGTGTGGGAAGTACTGGTAGACAGGTGGTGTAAGTGTGGGAAGTACTGGTAGACAGGTGATATAAGTGTGGGAAGTACTGGTAGACAGGTGGTGTAAGTGTGGGAAGTACTGGTAGAAAGGTGATGTAAGTGTGGGAAGTACTGGTAGACTGGTGGTGTAAGTGTGGGAAGTACTGGTAGACAGGTGGTGTAAGTGTGGGAAGAAGTGGTAGACAGGTGGTGTAAGTGTAGGAAGTACTGGTAGACAGGTGGTGTAAGTGTTGGAAGTACTGGTAGACAGGTGGTGTAGGTGTGGAAAGTACTTGTAGACAGGTAGTGTAGGTGTGGGAAGTACTGGTAGACAGGTGGTGTAGGTGTGGGAAGTACTGGTAGACAGGTGGTGTAGGTGTGGAAAGTACTGGTAGACAGGTGGTGTAGGTGTGGGAAGTACTGGTAGACAGGTGGTGTAGGTGTGGGAAGTACTGGTAGACAGGTGGTGTAGGTGTGGGAAGTACTGGTAGACAGGTGGTGTAGGTGTGGAAAGTACTGGTAGACAGGTGGTGTAGGTGTGGGAAGTACTGGTAGACAGGTGGTGTAGGTGTGGGAGTACTGGTAGACAGGTGGTGTAGGTGTGTGAAGTACTGGTAGACAGGTGGTGTAGGTGTGGGAAGTACTGGTAGACAGGTGGTGTAGGTGTGGGAAGTACTGGTAGACAGGTGGTGTAGGTGTGGGAAGTACTGGTAGACAGGTGGTGTAGGTGTGGGAAGTACTGGTAGACAGGTGGTGTAGGTGTAGGCGTGTGAAGTACCTCTCCTTAACATCGGTCAAGGAGAGGAAAGTACGAGTGTTATGACTGACGAGGTCAGCTTGTGCATAAGATACACAATATTTTTTAATCAATGGTCGTGAGGACACGCATGTTGTGGCTGCCTCAATCAAGTACATTGTGTAGATGTATCCCGGGATATGTTAATAATGTTCAAACAGTGTGATATATTTACATATGAAGGTGAGGGAGAGAGTGAGGGAGAGAGTGAAGGAGAGTGTGAGGGAGAGTGTGAGGCGAGAGTGAGAGAGACTAGTGACTATTATAAGGGGAGGCAACAGTACCTTGTGTGAGTGGCAGGTCCCCAGGGAAGGCGGTCCTCTGATGTTGTTTTAGTCTCCCCTCTCCCTTAGGAAAGGGGAGGAGAGGGTGGGGGAGAGGGAGGAAGTGTAGTAGGATGTGATGTGGGGGTGAAATGAGGGGAGTAGCAGAATGTATCTGTGATGTGACCACGGCTAACACACACACACACACACAGGAGCTATGACTCGACCCCTGCAACCACAAATAGGTGAGTACACACACACACACACACACACACACACACACACAGTACTGATGTACTGGCCAGGCTTAGGCTTGGTTACAAGTACTGACTGATGTTGTATTGGCCAGGCTTAGGCTTGGTTACAAGTACTGACTGATGTTGTAATAGCCAGGCTTAGGCTTGATTACAAGTACTGACTGATGTTGTAGTGGCCAGGCTTAGGCTTGGTTACAAGTATTGACTGATGTTGTAGTGGCCAGGCTTAGGCTTGATTACAAGTACTGACTGATGTTGCAGTGGCCTGGCTTAGGCTTGGTTACAAGTACTGACTGATGTTGTAGTAGCCAGGCTTAGGCTTGATTACAAGTACTGACTGATGTTGCAGTGGCCTGGCTTAGGCTTGGTTACAAGTATTGACTGATGTTGTAGTGGCCAGGCTTAGGCTTGATTACAAGTACTGACTGATGTTGCAGTGGCCTGGCTTAGGCTTGGTTACAAGTACTGACTGATGTTGTAGTAGCCAGGCTTAGGCTTGATTACAAGTACTGACTGATGTTGCAGTGGCCTGGCTTAGGCTTGGTTACAAGTACTGACTGATGTTGTAGTAGCCAGGCTTAGGCTTGATTACAAGTACTTTTGTCAGTTCGGCAGACACACAAATGATGATCAGACTGAATGCAAAGTATGTGACCAACCTTATGGTCACTTTCCTGAACCTTAACTACTGGGAACGCTTGGAAGCACTTGACTTGTACTCGTTGGAACGCAGGAGGGAGAGATATATCATAATCTACACTTGGAAAATCTTGGAAGGAATGGTCCCAAATCTGCACACAGAAATCACTCCCTACGAAAGTAAAAGACTGGGCAGGCGATGCAAAATGCCGCCAATAAAAAGTAGGGGCGCCATTGGTACACTAAGAGAAAACACCATCAGTGTCCGGGGCCCAAAACTGTTCAACAGCCTCCCATCAAGCATTAGGGGAATTGCCAATAAACCCCTGGCTGCCTTCAAGAGAGAGCTGGACAGATACCTAAAGTCGGTGCCGGATCAGCCGGGCTGTGGCTCGTACGTTGGACTTCGTGCGAACAGCAGTAACAGCCTAGTTGATCAGGCCCTGATCCATCGGGAGGCCTGGTCGTGGACCGGGCCGCGGGGGCGTTGATCCCCGGAATAACCTCCAGGTAACCTCCAGGTAATTGTCCACCTACTGAGAATATAAAGATAAGAACATAAGAACATAAGAAAGAAGGAACACTGCAACAGGCCTACTGACCCATGCGGAGCAAGTCCATGTCCGCCCCCCCCGGATTAGCCCAATGACCCACCCAGTCTGGTCACCTCCACTCAAGGATGGAGCACTGCACCAGACCCAGCAGCACAAGCAGCAATAGATAGAAGTATAATAACCAATGTGATATGTCAAGAAATTTTATTAACAAAAATAATATATCAGACATATTAAGCATTCTAAATTTACTTGCATACGATAAAGCAATCGTAAATATATCTAAATGTACTTCTGTTATTCCTTTTGGGGCCTAGTTCTTAGGATTTTCATTTTTCCCTATAGTCTTGCGGTACCATCCTCAGGATGAATATTAAACTCGGTTAATACCGGCACAGAATAAGCTAGTCGCTCTCCGGCAGCAATGTTTAACGTGGAGTTGAAGGGAAGAATCAGAGTGTTACAAAAACGCGATTTTTGATAAGCATAGAGATCTCCAGTGGATACTAGAAAG